GCGCGTATTGGACGAGTTAGTGTCAGGCTAACCTAATAAATCGGATGAAACGACATGAGACGAAATAACTTGCAGGACGAATCAACTTGAATTGGAACGAGTCAACCTGTGGAACGAAGGGACTTGGTACCAATGTTATTTGGGATGAATCGACCATCAATCAATATTTACAATACAGCACTGTGTATTTTGGCTACGGAGTTCGTTGATTTAAAACCTACCTCATCTGTATACGATTCTGGGTCGCGTTTTATAAGGTTCTGTAACTGCGGTAAATTGTTAGGAAGCTGGTTCCTATTCCGTTCACTCATGCTTAAAAAACAGTAGCCGTTTTTCACGAAAGTATGCTATCCTCACGTGTCGAGTCGCAAGATCCCGGAAGCGTTTGTTTATCGTGGTCATTCTCTTTACTCCAATTGCACTATAGTGCGCGCCATCAACGACAAGTATTGCGTTTATGTTACACCATTATTTCTGTAGTGCATTATCCTTGCGAGCTAAATATATTAGAATTTGAGACAGATAATTATATCTTTTTGTTTCAGACGTCCTCTCATTTAGTTTCTCAGTGTGACTTTTTCTTTCCATGTCTCTCTTCAGAGTATTGTCATCCTCTGACCTAATAGCAGGGGGAGAACAATTTGGTTATTTGGTTTCAAAAGTGTCACATGATGATTGAATTTGACATACGTCATCAACTTTTTTCCCAATAAGAAATACGTTTTTTTGGGGAAAAAAAACTTACTGCGAAAATGAAATAAAAATGTGCAAATTTTAAAGAAATTGCTGTTTAAGGTAGAAGTACGGTAACCGAGGTGTCATTTTTTAAAACCATTTTTACAACTCATTTTCATTTTATAATCCTTTTTAAAAACCAGTTTCGGTTATTGAATCGATTTTTAAAACCCACTTTCGTTTCTGGGTTATGTTTTTATTTTAAAAACCAATTGTTTAAATCCGTTTTCATTTTTTAAAATCATTTTTTGTATTCAAATTCCATTTTCATTTTCAACATCCATTTTAGTTTTTAAAATCTACTTTTTTGAATCCGTTTTTGTTTTAACTGACCCGTTTTTATTTTTAAAATTCTTTTCACGTTTTTGTTGATATTTGAAGTATAGGTATATACGTATTTTTCACGTTAAAACAAATTTTCCATCAGTATTTATATAAAAAATCGCTGCTGTTTCCCGCCTGTCGCATTAACTACACCTGTTTTCAATTGTTTTTACTAAGATTCTCATTTCGATTCTATATTCATTTAGTGTTTTGTATATCATTTCAACTTGACCTGATAATTTTTTTTTATTTCCACCAGTGATGCTTCCATGGTAAGGCTTCTTTACGTAAGTTATTCTTCAGACTATAACTTACATGTATTTAGCCGTGGTTCCGGCGA